AGTAGGGTTGACACACTATTCCAAGTACGTCAAAAAGTAGTGTTGAATAACTATTCCAAGTATGTCAAAAAGTAGTATTGACAAACTAATCCAAGTACGTCAAAAAGTAATGTTGAATAACTATTCCAAGTATGTCAAAAAGTAGTATTGACAAACTAATCCAAGTACGTTAAAAAGTAGTGTTGACAAACTATTCCAAGTATGTCAAAAAGTAGTATTGACAAACTAATCCAAGTACGTCAAAAAGTAGTGTTGACAAACTAATCCAAGCACGTCAAAAAGTATTGTTGTCAAACTATTTCAAGTTAAAAGTACGGTTGACATACTATTCCAAGTACGTCAAAAAGGGGGGGGGGGGGTTGACACACTTTGCCACGTACGTCATGTACACACCAAAGCAAAACCTCACTTTATTGGAACGTGTTATGAGATTTTTGCGACAACGCCCGTTAAAATCATCGATCTATTCCAAGTACGTTAAGAAGGGTGGGGGGGGGTTGACACACTTTGCCACGTACGTCATGTACACACCAAAGCAAAACCTCACTTTATTGGAACGTGTTATGAGATTTTTGCGACAACGCCAGTTAAAATCATCGAACTGTGACCAGGACAGGCCTGTCGACACTGTCCTCAATTTCCAAAATATCTCACTCGGAAGTACAAACATACATGTCAGCATAATTCACATATCATCAACGCGGACTTTTTTAATGTTCAACTTGATTTCTTCCATCAACACCGGCTCAACGAGTGCGAACCTTGACACAATATAGACTCTGTCACTCTTCAAAGTCTATGTCTATGTTTGTCAACATACTTCTCAGTCTTCTAATTTCTCCATTCTGGTATTTCGTTAAAGAAGATGCTCTTAGCGTCCCTTTCTCAAATTAAGGTACAGGATGTGGTTTAAATGTCACATTCGGACAGTTTTGCACAGAAAAATGGTCGAAAAGTCCCCCCTTCTGTCATTTAGGCACAGGGAATAAGCAACAAGATACAGTCTGTCATCACATTTTAGTCTTAGTCCTGTATTCTTGTCGTTCCAATTAAAGACAATTTTATTTCCTCAGGTCCAAAGCTATAAAAACCACCGACAACAGCGTGAGAGCGATTGGTCTCTGTTGCTCTATGTTTCATCGGGTTAGTTAGCTGCGTTGAGAGCTGCACGACAAGCCAAGACATTGAGCTGCGCACGATTCTAGATAATAATAAATGTCCTTTTCAAAATAACAAAGTGATTGATGCGGCCGTTTCAGGCAACCCAATATAATATTATTGATTGTACAACATTGATATCTTAACTCTGAGTGGAGTGTTGATGTCAGTGTGACTGTCCTTTGTACTTGCATTGTTCGTGCACGATTTTTATGGATGGAATTACGATTCCCGGTGCTTGCCTGATTGTAGTGCCTATCATTAGTTTGAACTCTTGAGATTCAATACCACTTTGATACGGTCTCTGAAACATTATGCAAGACCTCCTGGGAACTGCATTTATGTTCTCGGGCAAATGCACAAATTATGAATGATTATCTGTTGAAGTCTTAGAACATTAATTGGCTCCGTGTACAATTGAAATGAATTGGCTCAATGTACCATTTTCGACCTGTTATTATATTAAAGCAATTTTTTTTTTTAAATAAAAAATCTACTGCTTATTTTCGAAATACAGTTGATTTTCGAAGCCCATATATAATGAAGTATATGACGTACATTAAAAATTATTACGCACAAAAATATTTCCCACGTAAATAATGGTCGTGATTTAATGTGTGTAAGATCAACACAATCTTCTTGTGTTCTACAAAATAATTTGTGTTTTTGAGTGATTTTTAAAATATTTTTTAAAGAATTTTTTGTGTGTAGATGTATTCATATTTTCATGAGCCAAAAATGTTTGTCATTAGAATACGAATTAGTTAATTATCAACCAGAATTATGTGCTAGTTTTGAAGAGCATTGAAGATTCTAAAACTGGTCAAATCATAATTTCAATGTTTTATGCTTAATTTAGCTACGTCGCCAGACCAGACATGTACAGATGACACAATTCAGCCCTCATTGTCTAGAGGTCTTCTTTCCCAAGAAGAGGCATGATGCCTAAAAAAATGTTAGAAGCAAACACCATTCATGTTAGAAGCAAACACCATTCATGTTAGAAGCAAACACCATTCATGTTTCTAAAAGTTTAGTTTGTTCTCTGTTCCTAAACAGCTGATGGCTCACGTACTGTGTACTGTGTACTAAGCACTCTTTCTGCACTGACACCATGCCGTTTTGTAACAACAAAAGGGGAAAAAAAAAGTAAAATGACGCCAATGTTACTTGTCCTGTCACGGCATTTCCCCACGTGACAATTGTGAACATTAATCATGTTTTAAGGAAGACTTAAGGGCCACATTTGGTATGTGAGCCCTAATATCGGTTCTTAACCTGAGTAAGTCCATAGAAAGGGGGGGGGGAGAGGGGGGGTGTTATTTCGTGAAAAGATGTCACAGTGTCCGTCAGCTGCATTTCCTTTGTAGCTTTGTCATATTTATTTAAAATCTTGACACTAATAAAGGATCCATGTGGCTCAATGGTGGTTAGGAACTGGTCTAGAGAGATCTCCTCTTTGATGCCGGTAAATTCCGTAAAGTACAGATAACTCCGTGATGTACAGAGAACCCAGTAATGTAGAGATAACTCCGTAATGTATAGATGACTCCGTAATGTGCAGATAACTCCCCTGATTTTTTTTTTTAAAAAACGTGGATCTTCAACGTGGCTTTGTAAGCCAATGAGAAGGGGGGGGGGGGACATCTGATTAGATTGAAACATTCTAAGCCATTTTAAAATGACAAAATTGGCGGAAAGAAAACAACAGCAGCTGGTATGACAGCGCGAGGGATGTGTTATTTTACCGCCATGCATCAATTGTTGGCTTTGTTACCACCATACAACACTTGTTGGCTTTGTTACCACCATACATTTTTTTTTTTAAAAAAGGGGGAGCTTAAACGGGGCTTTGGAAGCCAAGGAGAAGGGGGGGGGGGGACATCTGATTAGATTGAAACATTCTAAGCCATTTTAAAATGACAAAATTGGCGGAAAGAAAACAACAGCAGCTGGTATGACAGCGCGAGTGATGTGTTATTTTACCGCCATGCATCAATTGTTGGCTTTGTTACCACCATACAACACTTGTTGGCTTTGTTACCACCATACAACACTTGTTGATTTTGTTACCGCCATACAACAATTGTTGGTTTTGTTACCGCCATACAACAATGGTTGGTTTTGTTACCGCCATACAACACCTGTTGATTTTGTTACCGCCATACAACAATGGTTGGCTTTGTTACCACCATACAACACTTGTTGGTTTTGTTACCGCCATACAACAATGGTTGGTTTTGTTACCGCCATACAACACTTGTTGGCTTTGTTACACCATACAACACTTGTTGATTTTGTAACCGCCATACAACAATTGTTGGTTTTGTTACCGCCATACAACAATGGTTGGCTTTGTTACCACCATACAACACTTGTTGGCTTTGTTACCGCCATACAACAATTGTTGGTTTTGTTACCGCCATACAACAATGGTTGGTTTTGGGTTGAAGCTTTCATAATAGACCAGCATTGGATGAGTTGATGTTCATTTGAGATTAACATAAGAGAGCAGATGCAAGGGGAGATAATCTAAAGACACATACTGTTATCGATCTGTCTAGGAAATGTTTGTGCAAACAAACCGAAATCACATTTTAATCCCTTTTTGTGCAGTTCGATAAGGAAAGTGTTCTTAAAAATAGTATTTCAAGGTCAAGTCAATACCCCCCCCCCCTTTAACTTTTTTCAAAATGTACTAGCCATAGCTACGCGCCTGCTTAGAAGGGCGGATAAAATGTGCCGCCATCGGCGTTGCAGTGCGGTGCGGGTCTTAATGCCTAAAGAATACGTTTGTGTTGTCCCATTATGATCTCCGAAGTGTGTTGGTATGCATCAAGGCAGGAGAGTTTGACAAATTGTATCTTAAATTAACAGAAGCCTTAGCGAAGTGTGTTGGTATGCATCAAGGCAGGAGAGTTTGACAAATTGTATCTTAAATTAACAGAAGCCTTAGCGAAGTGTGTTGGTATGCATCAAGGCAGGAGAGTTTGACAAATTGTATCTTAAATTAACAGAAGCCTTAGCGAAGTGTGTTGGTATGCATCAAGGCAGGAGAGTTTGACAAATTGTATCTTAAATTAACAGAAGCCTTAGCGAAGTGTGTTGGTATGCATCAAGGCAGGAGAGTTTGACAAATTGTATCTTAAATTAACAGAAGCCTTAGCGAAGTGTGTTGGTATGCATCAAGGCAGGAGAGTTTGACAAATTGTATCTTAAATTAACAGAAGCCTTAGGTTGATATTTGTAAGAATTCAAAAAAAAATTAATCAATCAATCAATCAATCAAGAATGAAGGTGTGAAAATGTTTCACTCTGGGGTTGCAATAACTGCCGGGAACAACACAAGATGTGACCCGTACATAAGATCTTACATTGGGTCTTTTGATGAGGTCACGGGTGGTCAGTCTATTAGATGGTCGGCATCAGTCTCCGTCAGGCCAAGTTTACAGTGAGGCAGCTTATTGATGGCCGACACCATTCCCTGTCAGTCCGGACAGTTCGACAGCTTATTGATGACCACAGGCTTCGCAGTGGTACACCATCTGTGACCATTTAACCCTCACCACCGCAAAGCCTGGGGCGTCTTCAACGCATGAAACCAAGACAAGACACATTTACACATAACACGTGTCAAGTTCATACAAACGCACGAGACCCACACAGACCCAGACCCACACACAGACCCAGACCCAGACCCACACAGACCCAGACCCACACAGACCCAGACCCACACAGACCCAGACCCACACAGACCCAGACCCACACAGACCCAGACTCACACAGACCCAGACCCATAGGACACGTACCTGATGAACATCTCCACCCCGAATCCGACATCGTCCCTCATGACCGCCTTCCAGGACTGCTTGAGCGAGAAGACCTGCCTCACGTTCAGGCCGCTCTTGTTGTCCGCCGACTCCACGGGTTTCCCCTTGTCCTCCAGCTCCGAGAAGCCCTTCCCTTTGTTGTTGTTGTCGCTGCTCCCGGAATCTTCTCCACACCGGCAACTCAGGCATTTGAGAATGGCTTGCATCTTCTTCACCGTGATTTTTTTTTTTTTAAATCCTGGCCCCTTCCGGTCGAGGGTGTTACACCGTACACAGGATCTGACTTTGTTGCACGAAATTATTTTCCTGTACTCCAAGTTGTAAAGATGGGTATTGCTTCGAGAATTTCAAATAACGTCGTGTTACTAGGCGGTTCAGGGTGGTAGTAAATGGTTAATTGCAATCACAGGCTCTTGTTGAGCCTTGCAATCACAGGCTCTTGTTGAACCGACGTATGTATCTAGTTGTAACACTGAAGTTTTCTACCCGCAAACAATTTGTTGAAAAATGTATTGATAAAACGCAAAACTTGAAAATTCATCATTTACTTCTTCCTATGGCTGAATCCAGTATTTTTGTTGTTGTTCATGAACATCAATACCGGTGACAGGAAGAGTGCAACAAGGACCAGATCCGAGAAGTTCATTCAATCCACAACATCCGCGACGCATCCAGACATATCCACGAGCTCAAGGCCTGCCAGTGATGAGATCCCCATATAGCTCCGCCATGTAGAGTGAAGCCAATAAAAATAAAAGGGGGGGAAATGGATGTACATAGAGAACCACCACCGGACAGAAGTTCGCCGACTCTCTAAGTAACACTTCCGCTAGCCGAAGCCATTCCGTGAACATGCCAGACTATTGAAAGCTACACGACCAAGGCAACCCCGTTTAACAATAGCGATCAATGCCTTCGACTGTCACGACCTGTCACATATTAAATCCTATGTAGCGAATCCATATGAAAGGCCTCTAAGACCGGGCGGCCCCCCACCTTCAAAGTGTGTAAAGAGTTATGAGATATTAGGCGCCCTGAAAAGAAATCGGTTTCACTAGATCGATATATCGAGAATCAGGTCAGAGCACTGTGTTAGCAGAACTCCCCCCAGTCATTCCATTCACACAGCCGGAGTTACCAGCCTTGGAGAAGGGAAATAAAAAAAAAAAGTGTGTGCTTTTGGGGGGAGGGGGGGTCCGAGAACAAATCCACACTCGTCTACAAACAAATGAGAGCATCTCTCACACGGCGCTGCATCTACACACACACACACACACTCGTACACACAGACACACTCACTCACCCATACGTTCTTCCGTAGAATAGTTTTCTAGCCCAATTGTACCAAGGCAAAGGAGAGTCAGTTGCCAAAAGTTTCAGATGTTAGAATATTCAAATCATCCCAGCCCCCCTCCCCTTGTGTTTCTTTTCTGCATGTGAGAGTGCTGCAAATTATCATTGCTCCATCTTCACATGAGTAGCGAGACCTGCTGTCAGTGAGACTTGCAGTCAGTGAGACGAAAATGGGCGGTTTAATTACATATATAAATACTTTGGCGTAGGTGAGCAGAAATTCCAGGCGCCTGGTGAGCGGTACAAGAAGAATTACTGCACATAAACTTGCACGCTGTGCATTAATAGATGGTCGTTGTGTTGCGCTGTGTTTAAACACATACATGATCACAATTTATTTGGGAGCAGGGGCCCTCATGGAGGTCTTCTAATCAGATCAAGTCTAGGACATCATTTTTCATCTAATACAATATTTCTGTGATGCAGCTAATACAACATCTCTGTGATCCAACTAATACAACATCTCTGTGATCAAACTAACACAACATCTCTGTGATCCAACTAATACAACATTCGTGTGTTCCAACTAATTTAACATTTCTGTGATCCAACTAATACAACATCTCTGCGATCCATCTAATACAACATATCTGTGATCCAACTAATACAACATCTCTGTGATCCAACTAATACAACATCTCTGCGATCCATCTAATACAACATCTCTGTGATCCAACTAATACAACATCTCTGTGATCCAACTAATACAACATCTCTGTGATCCAACTAATACAACATCTCTGTGATCCAACTAACACAACATCTCTGTGATCCAACTAACACAGCATCTCTGTGATCCAACTAATACAACATATTTGTGATTTAACATTATTCTTCTATTACTTGTAATCCAACTAATAGAACATCTGTGTGTTCCAACTAAAACATCATCTGCGTGATCCATTAATACGACGTGATCAAACTGGTACATCCTTTCTGTAAGATTTTAGCTCAATTTTGAAAATGAATTGTTTTTGTATAACTATAAGACCATAGCTCTAAGGGGAAACAAGGGAGAAAAAAAAGGGGGGGGGGGGAGTAAGTTAAAGCTAGAAAAGAATGGAAGCCTTTTGTAAAAGTGATCAATCTATAGACTTAAATAAGATGTTTTCTCTTTTGTTGTATAAAGATAACTTTTGTTCTGCTATTATAGTACCACTGTTTGTCAAAGATAAAGATAACATTTGGTCTGCCGTTACAGCACCCCTTTCTCTCAAAGATAAAGATAACATTTGGTCTGCCATTACAGCATCACTTGCTCTCAAAGATAAAGATAACATTTGGTCTGCCATTACAGCACCACTTTCTCTCAAAGATAAAGATAACATTTGGTCTGCCATTACAGCACCACTTTCTCTCAAAGATAAAGATAACATTTGGTCTGCCATTACAGCACCACTTGCTCTCAAAGATAAAGATAACATTTGGTCTGCCATTACAGCACCACTTGTTCTCAAAGATAAAGATAACATTTGGTCTGCCATTACAGCAACACTGTATCCCAACGCTAAAAGATATCTTGAGCTCTGCTGAGAAGTGAAGTGAAGCGATTGGCTTGCCGTACAAAGATATGCTCTTACTGATATGCTAATTACATGCAAACGTCATTGATCTCAAGATATGCAAATTGCCGGAGTGATATCTTGAAAACTCTGCAGCTAACATCCGACCAGAAAACCTGATGGTTATTTGTGTGGCGTGTTCATCGGTGCAGAGCTTACATGTCTGTGTAGGCAGCAGCTTACATGTCTGTGTAGGCAGCAGTTGACGCGAGAACTGGACATATTTGGTAGGAAATAGAACTGGTAGGCATAAAAATAGTAAGCAACATAAAATTGTAGGCAACAGAACCTGTGGGAAATAGAAAAAGTAGGCAATAGAATTTGTAGGCAATAGAACTTGTGGACAAGAAAAATATTAGGCAATAGAAATTGTAGGCAATAGAAACAGTTGGCAATCGAATCTATAGTCATTAGAAATTGTAGTAAATATGAGTAGTAGGATATAAGTTGTAGGTAAAAGATATAAATTGTAGGTAATATAAATTGTAGGCAATAGAAACTGTAGGAAATAGAAACTGTAGGAAACAAAAATTGTAGGCAATAAAACTGTGGGAAATAAAATCTGAACGCAATAGAAATAGTAGACAATAGAAGTAGCATGCTATACCAATGGTAGGCAATAGAAAAAGTTGGCAATAGAAACTATAGGCACTAGAAAAATAGGCAATAGAAATAGTAGGAAATTGATATTGTGGGTAATATAACCTTTAGGATATATAAATTGCAGGATACAGAAACTGTAGGAAATGCTAACTGTCGGAAAAAGAAGCTGTGGGAAATATATGCTGTGGGCAATAGAAGGTGTGAGCAATAGAAGCTGTGGGAAATATATGCTGTGGGCAATAGAAGGTGTGAGCAATAGAAGGTGTGAGCAATAGAAGCTGTGGGAAATATATGCTGTGGGCAATAGAAGGTGTTAGCAATAGAAGCTGTGGGAAATATATGCTGTGGGCAATAGAAGGTGTGAGCAATAGAAGGTGTGAGCAATAGAAGCTGTGGGAAATATATGCTGTGGGCAATAGAAGGTGTGAGCAATAGAAGCTGTGGAAAATATATGCTGTGGGCAATAGAAGGTGTGAGCAATAGAAGCTGTGGAAAATATATGCTGTGGGCAATAGAAGGTGTGAGCAATAGAAGGTGTGAGCAATAGAAGGTGTGAGCAATAGAAGGTGTGAGCAATAGAAGGTGTGAGCAATAGAAGGTGTGAGCAATAGAAGGTGTGAGCAATAGAAGCTGTGGGAAATATATGCTGTGGGCAATAGAAGGTGTGAGCAATAGAAGCTGTGGGAAATATATGCTGTGGGCAATAGAAGGTGTGAGCAATAGAAGGTGTGAGCAATAGAAGGTGTGAGCAATAGAAGCTGTGGGAAATATATGCTGTGGGCAATAGAAGGTGTGAGCAATAGAAGCTGTGGGAAATATATGCTGTGGGCAATAGAAGGTGTGAGCAATAGAAGGTGTGGGAAATATATGCTGTGGGCAATAGAAGGTGTGAGCAATAGAAGCTGTGGGAATTATATGCTGTGGGCAATAGAAGGTGTGAGCAATAGAAGGTGTAAGCAATAGAAGGTGTGAGCAATAGAAGCTGTGGGAAATATATGCTGTGGGCAATATAAGGTGTGAGCAATAGAAGCTGTGGGAAATATATGCTGTGGGCAATAGAAGGTGTGAGCAATAGAAGCTGTGGGAAATATATGCTGTAGGCAATAGAAGGTGTGAGCAATAGAAGGTGTGTGAAATATATGCTGTGGGCAATAGAAGGTGTGAGCAATAGAAGCTGTGGGAAATATATGCTGTGGGCAATAGAAGGTGTGAGCAATAGAAGCTGTGGGCAATATATGCTGTGGGCAATATATGCTGTGGGCAATAGATGGTGTGAGCAATAGAAGCTGTGGGCAATATATGCTGTGGGCAATAGAAGGTGTGAGCAATA